AAATATATAAGCTCTTTGTAATTGTGCCTTTGGAATGCCATCTGTCTTGAATTAACATCCACCTGGGATCATGTTTCGATGACCAATATGGACAGATTACTGGAACTTTAAAACCTCTCTTGCTTTGTAATTGACATTTAAACTGTTTGAAGTTTCTCATTAAGTCCTTTTTTACAAATTAGGTGCAGATGTATAAAGCTAAATGTACAGTACTAAGGGAAATTAGGTCACCTGAAAGCCCAATAATAAAACGCATCTATTAACTGTTTGAACGCAATGAGTACATTAAAATTTAGAGATCGACTTTATGCCCCAAATTCTTCAAAGTTTCATCATTTCCCTTTCATTGCTGCAGAGCCCCGATGCCAACCATTTTTAATTAAAATGGCAGAGAAGGAAGCAGGCGTGGTCGCCCTGCCCACGGCAGCAGAGGGAAGAAGGCAAGGCAGGCGGCCTCAGGAACATCCAGTATCACGGGCATTTCCCCCGGCCTGAGCAACCCCTGAACGCAGAGGCCTCCAGCCCAGCAGCTCGCTGTCGCATAAGGCAGCAGAGCCGCGCAGAGCTCGCTTGCACGGCTTTCGTGAGCAGCACAGACAGGCTGCACTCAGCGAAGTGCCGGGCAGCCCAGGCACGGCCCGCTCCCCTCCCATCAAGGGGTGGCTTTGCGCCTCGAGTTCAGCAGCCAGCAGTTGGCAGCACTTAAACGCAACGCCGATGAGTACCTATGGCATAAGGCCCGTGAACCCTCTCTGCCAGTCACGGGTCTCTCAGGATAAATTAGGCCGCAGCCCACATGAAATGCACAACTGCAAATCCTTTTGGCACCACTGCTAGCATATCGGTTCTTGACATCATGCCAAGCGGCGTAACCAGCCACGCTGGCTGTGTTGCTGGGTGAGCAAGTGTATCTCAAACAGTGCCAGAGCAGGACCTAACCCGGTTCCCCTACACACAGCTCTTTTCTCCATGCCCGTCCGCATCTTCTGTTCAAGAGAAAAACTGCTGTGTATTTCTAGAAGAAAGGAAAAACTGCACCAGTCTGTATGTAAGCACACTGCAACGCCTGCGAAAGAACAAACACAAAGTAATGCTTTCCTGGAGAAGACAGAGCAATGCGTTGGAAAGGGGAACAAGATACAGCAGTAATTCACTCATACCTCGTGAGAAAGACCTCTAGCGAAAGCGTGTTTGCAACAATCCTGTTTTGCTCAAACACTTTATAACTGGCAGCTCCCATTTTGCTAATGGTTCCACAGAGGCAGGTGGAGGGCCACGAAGGATCGCTGAGGACTGAGACAGCTTTAAGCAGACTTGTTGGGGTGCCAGGGGTGATCAGCTGTATACACTCGGCTTTGCACCCTGCTTCTCATTAGCATTAATTAGACAGCATCGTACCTCTGCTGCTGCCAGGACAATAACTGGCTCAGGCAGTAGTTTCACAGTCCCTAATACTGGGTATGGAATTGCCAGAGCACACACCAGGGAGCTGGCATCTTTCTGCCAACTGCAGAGGAGAGCAGAGATAGGCTCAGCATAATGTTAGGCCAGCAGGAACACCTTTAAGCAGGTGTGGTGTATATATGATACATATAGCCACCCCAAAGCTTGATGTTAGAGAGCTCAATCAGGTTCATCCCCAGGCAGAGGGTCACAGCACGAGGGACTCCATCAGTGGTGATCAAGCCACCCCTCTCCTCCCCAGCACACGAGCCACGATCAGGTGCTCACCTAGCCAGCAATGTGACCACGCTAGTTTCAGTGAACCAAAGTCACTTTCTAGAAAAACAGGTTTTGTAGATGTTTCTCAACAGTTCTGCCTCATAGAGCGTTCTTATCACTCACTAGAAAGTCAGTAAAACTCATCCCAAGCCCATAATCTTGAAAGACACACTTAAAAATGCATTGAGTACAAAATGAATGATTATTATTATTATTATTTTTACAAAGGTTCAGGAAAGAAATCCCTCACAGACTTAATGCTTTATTGACATGCTTGGTTAGAGCACTACACACACTGAGCAAGATCAGCTGCCAGTGAGGACCACAGATGATGTCTTCCCATTTAAATGTTGCAACAAAGAATAGAACTATTTCACAAGTAACAAAGGGGAACCCTTTAATTTGCTGAAACAATTTCAGCTCTCATTGCATTAGCACCCTCCAGCGTCCAATCCATGAAAAGCATCATCAAGACTAATTTGCCAAGCAGTCTCAAACTTGTCCTGTGAGATACAAGAGGAAACAGCAGCAGGATCCTGGGAGAGAAGATAGCAACTGGAGACAACAGAAGAAACTCCCAATTCTGCAAAATATCTTCTGTTCCAAGGGCAGAAATTGTAGATGACATACGCAGAGTCCCTGAGCAAGACGTGACGAGGAATTATCATTAATCCTCTATTACCTTCCAAGAAGACACTCGGTGAGCCTCACCACACCACAGCAATCCATCACGCTCATTTAGAGGCACAGCAGCAGAAGCAGCACTCCTCCAGCAGCACTCCCAAAGCTGTACACATCCACGTCGTGCATTCCATACTCTGCAGCACTCCGCCAAGATGTGAGGTTAGCAATGTCACTTTCGACTGACGTGGTGCAGGCACGTGGGTATGCTTCTGGCCACAACATGCCATGTAAAGGAACAGATGTAAAAAGCCCTCTTGTTCATGGGGGAAGCACACTTGCATTCAGATAGCTGAGGACAACCAGGTGCAATGTTCTTTTGCATCAAAAACACTAAGCGCAGAGAGAACCCTCCACACAGATCTGTGGTGAAAAAAGTTTTCATATGCAATGCTTTACTGCAATATTGCTTGTAAAAGCACACTTAACGCCTCCAGCAATTAGAAAAAAAAAAAAAAGAACAGCTGAATTTATTACTTCAAAACAGCTGAAAGGAGTTTTAAAAAACTTTTTCCAAGAAAAAAATCTTTCCAAAGCAGGGGAAGCCCAAAAGGCCTTGGAAAATCACAAGTGAGCAAAAACAGACTGTAAATGCTGTGAGCACTGTTAGTTTCATCTGCCTGCTAACAGCACAAATACTCCAACAGCATTCTCACAGCAGCACTGCAAGGACAGCAGCATCTTCGTAAAGACACAAAAGTGGCAGCCATAGGACATGCACTGATGTCCAGACCCAGAGCGCCTGCTAGCTCCTGCTACAGACCACAAAGCTGCTAATGAAATTCAACCAACAGGTGCATCGACTGCCAAAGTTTGAAGTCATCCCTGTCTTTTCTGTCTGCATTGCACACAGCTAAGTGGCTGTCCAGCTGAAATGTGAGCAAGGACTCCTGGTTCTTCATCCAGCTCAGGTCAGCAACCGCTTAGCTGCCCCAAATTCAGGTCCTGCAAGAGCTCGTGGACTGCACCTGCGTGGCAGCCCTTTGGGCTCCAAAGCTGCACGGGTGATGAGGGACAGGCAGTTCCCACTGCTGACAGGCTGTGACATCTGCTGGGAATCAGGCAGGTCATCGAGTCCAATTCCAGGCTCCACAAAGGATCACCAAAATCCAAACCCTATGTCTGAGAGCAGTGTCCAAATGCTCTGTGAACTCCAGCACTCGGGGCCATGCCCACAGCCCTGGGCAGCCCATTCCATGCCCACCACCCTCTGGTGCAGCCCCTTTCCCTAGCTCCCAGCTGCCCCTCCCCTGACAGCTCCATGCCGTTCCCTCAGGCCCTGTCGCTGTCACACAGAGCAGAGCTGTGAGGAGCTGCAGCCGCCATTAGCTCAGCTGCTCTGAGCACACCCGGGGACCTCAGCCGCTCCTCATATGTCTTGTCCTCCAGACCCTTCCACATCTTTGTTACCCTTCCTTGGATGCTAACAGTTTTATGTCCTTCTTAGCATATACGATCCTGTACAGGGGGAAAAGGAAAGGCATTTACATGCATGCAACTCCTCCAGCAGCAGGCTCAGTCAGTCAGCCAGAGGCTGGGATATGATGCTGGGTGCCCTGCAGGATGGCGTTACTGAAGGCAGGAAAGCCTAACCTGGACTGTAAGGCCCCTAGCACAGCACAAACAAGTCCCAGGGCTCCCCAAGAACACCATGGTCAGTACTGTCTGTACACAGCAATACTTATGTTTATTACAGACTCATCACATGCTCTTCTGATAGTCACAGAATGGCCAGGGTTGGAAGGGACCTCAAGGATCATGAATCTTCAACCCCCCTGCCACATGCAGGGCCACCAACCTCCCCATTTCATACTAGACCAGGCTGCCCAGGGCCCCATCCAACCTGGCCTTGAACACCTCCAGGGATGGCAACCTCTCTGTGCAGCCTGTTCCAGCACCTCAGCACTTTCTCTGTAAAGAACTTCCCCCTGACATCCAACCTAAATCTCTCCTTCGTTCAACATAAAACCATTTCCCCTTGTCCTGCTGTTATCAACTCTTTCAAAGAGTTGATTCCCCTCCTGCTTGTAGGCTCCCTTTAGGTACTGAAAGGCTGCAATGAGGTCACCCCGCAGCCTTCTCTTCTCCAGGCTGAACAAGCCCAGCTCCCTCAGCCTATCCTCATAGGTGAGGTGCTCCAGCCCCCTGATCATCTTTGTGGCCCTCCCCTGGACCCTCTCCAACAGCTCCATGTCCTTCCTGTACTGGATTCCCCAGGCCAGGAAGCAGTACTCCAGATGGGGCCTCCCAAGGGCAGAGTAGAGAGTAACAATCACCTCTCTGTCCCTGCTGGCCACCCCTCTTCTGATGGAGCCCAGGATACCATTTGCTTTCCGAGCTGCAATCAGCTACGAAATGCCTACAGTATCCAGGCCCTTCAGGTGCCGCAGGTGGGGCGTCACGAGGTCAGAGCACGGAGGCCACTCACCTCCCCGCCCCTCCGCCCGCGCTGCCTCCGGCCCTCCGCACCGCCCGACGCCTGCCCCGCACCGCCCGCACCGCCCTCGCCGCACAGCGCCCCCCTCAGGCGCCGCGTCCCGACCCCGCTCCCTCGCCCCCGATCCGCTCGTGCCGCGGGGCGGCGCCGCCTCACTCACAGCCACCGCCAGCCCCGCGTCGCCGTCGCCACCGCCACCGCCGCCGCCATCGCCGCCTCGCCCCGCCCCGCCGCTGCCTATTGGCTGGGGAACGCCGCCGCGCCCCTCCCCCGTGGGGCTGATTGGTGAGAAGGGAGGAGGAGGTGTGTCGCGCGCCACGTGGGGCTGTGGAGCCGCCCCCCACGTGCCCTGGCAGGAGGGGCGGGGCGCTCGGCGCGGCCGGTAGCGGGGCGCCTCCTGGCTGCCGGCTGCGCTCCCTCAGCGCGGCGCCCTCTGCCCGCCCGCGTGCCCCCAGCGCCTCCCTCAGGGCTCCGAGGTGACGGTGCGGGTGCTGGGCGCGGGGCAGTGCCGGGTAGCCGGCAGCGGCCTGCCCTGCTCCCTGCCGTATTGTAGAAGGCCCGTAGAGCTATTAATGAGCCGCCCTGATAAAAATATGCGATCTTTATTGGAGTCTGTGTGGAAGCCAAGTAGCGAAGAGCCCCGTGCTGCCGCCCGAAGCCGTTGCGCATCGCCGTCCTCCTGATGCTCATTTACTGTGATTTGCAAGAGAGAAATGAGCATCGCAGCAGCGCGGGCGCAGCGTGCCTTCCTCGTGGTGCTGTGAGCACAAAGGGCGTCCTCAGATCCTCGTGCAAAAGTGGGGAATAAACATCTGTCAGCACCGATCTTGCGGAGGTTTCGGTGACGCTTTCAGACAGGAGGGCATTTGTGATGGCCGGCTGTGTCACGGGGCCTCTGTGGTGCCAGAGCTGCTTGGGGCCTGCTCTGATGGCTCAGTGCAGTGACAGCTCCTTGGGGCCTTGGCTGGGACTCACTGCTCTCCTGGAGGAGAGACAGGCTTGGCCTGGGCAGTGGGTTAAGGTGATAATGGGGTGATATAAGTGGGGGTGGCTAAGCGAGGGGAAGGAGAAGCAGAGAAGGGGTTCTGAGCCAGAAGAAAGATGGGTGGGCGAGCAGGAAGTATTTACTTTTCTTCTCCCCAACCTCCTCTTCAGACAACGGACTGAGAGCCTTTCTCCTTGGAGCAGGCAGCCCCTGCTCAGCCCTCAGGCCTCACAGGTAATTCTCTGCTTCCTCAAGGTTCCTTGTGGGATGGTCGGCACTCAATGCCAAAACAGAGGGAAGATGAAAGCAAAAAAAGGGAGAAACATCTGGAAAAAATGAAGGGCCAGTAGCTGAGGTGGAGCTGCAGGAAGTAGAAACTACTAGAGCAGGTCTTGCAGTAAATCAAAGAAAACACTAGCTAGAAAGTATCAAGTTATAGAAGCCCTACTTTGTACATTAAGAGGATTTTACAGTGAGTGCATATTGCTATCCAGTTCAGATAACGTTATACTTACTACACAGCTTTTGGGGAAGATTACTGAAAAGCATCTGCCTGGAACCACTGCAATTCAGAAAAGTCAAATATTGGCATGCTGGAAGTGGTTCACAGCCTACGTGCTCCATGCGCTGCCTGGAAACACAGTTTGTAAGGGAATTTGAAGTGGGGAGCTGTGCTTGCCAATACTCCAGGTAGGAGCTTGTGATACATTTCAAAAAGTGGTGTGGTTTCAGTATTGGTTTTCTTTCTCATTCCTTATATAGCCTCATGTTTTATTTGTTGTGATCCACTGAGCGTATGTTTCCACTGTCTGGGAGCAGGTCTGTTTCCTGAGTGCCAAGTATTTATTTACCAGTGCACAAGGCCACGAGTTGTTTGGGACGAGGGTGGATAGTGGTAGGACAAGGGGAATGGTTTCAAACTGAGACAGGGGAGGTTTAGGTTAGATATTAGGAGGAAGTTTTTCATACAGAGGTGGTAACGCACTGGAACAGGCTGCCCAAGGAGGCTGTGGATGCCCCATCCCTGGAGGCATTCAAGGCCAGGCTGGATGTGGCTCTGGGCAGCTTGATCTAGTGGTTGATGACCTTGCACATAGCAGGGGGGTTGAAACTAGATGATCATTATGGTCCTTTTCAATCCAGACCACTCTGATTCTATGATGCTATGATTCTCTCCTCATATGCATCACCTGGGCTTGCTAGAAGCAGGAGCTACAGGCAATGTCCACACTGCACCCAGTGCACAGGAGAACCTACGCTGCAGGGCACCTTTGGTTTTGCTCAGTGTGAGTCAGGCGACAGGGCATGGTGATGGCTGCTGCAAGGGTGGCAGCAGAAGTGAGTACGTTATGCTTTAGTTCAGAAGGTGAAAAATAGAGGGCATAGAACTACTCGGAGCAAATGCTCTTTTTTAAACAAATAAAAAAAGTCCATCACAATGGGTTTTCCAGTGTGAAATACTGTCAAGCTACGGAGCACGCAAGGAGGAAAGTATGGCTCGTGTGTAGATGAGGAGGGGGACAAAAAAAGCGGACTCTGCTGTTACAGATGTTATTTTGACAGGTTTCAAAACTCAAAATATTCTGTATATTTTACAGCAGATTGTATGTGAATGCTTGTTAGTATTCATATGCCCTATGCTTTTATTCCCAAGTCCCCTCTCCCAGTAAGTCTAGTATTTTCACCTCAAAGGAGGTTCCTTAAACTTGAATTGCTGCAGCGTGCTTCAAACCCCACCAAATAATCTGCAGGCTGTTGATGCTGTAATGCTATGGTGGCTTGTATGCCATTAAAATGGATCACTGAAATGTCCGTCTATAGATCCTTTCCTCAATACGTTGTGTCAGTGTACTGTATAGATCCTTTAATCCATAGACTATTATTAAAATAGTGGATTAAGGAGTTGTTTGGGATGAGAGCATGCTGTATATGTAACAAAACAGTTTAGCTGAGATTAGTATTTATTACTCGACAGAAAAATTGATTGAAGGATTCATAGATGCTGATAATATCAGAGCCTGGGAGACACTAATGCATTTGATTGTTGTGTTTTTGCCACGTGAGCCCTTGTTAAGCAAACCTGTTATACACAAAATAACTAAATACTGATATAAAACACTGTGCTTAGATAGCTTAAAACATTTTGCACGAGGATGTGCATGGAAAGGACATTCAGACTTGTGAAATGATAACTTCTAAAATATGTTTAAGAGAGTTCACAAGGTGTTATACAAATCACTATCAACTTACCCTAACCCAAAGTGAACTGGAAAAGATGTATTTTTTTCCATGCTATTTTCTTCTGCCAGCAGTCTTCCTGAATTTATCAGAAAGGGGAGTTTCATTCAGCCATGTGTTAAAGTTTAACCAACTAAAACGGTCACAGTTTTACAGACTTATCTTTCATGTAACAGAAGGTTGTCAACAAGCCTTTTCAGTGACATCTCCACATTAGGATGGCAAGCAGATGATTTGAGGATTACCAGGCTGCTGGACAGGTCATCTGGGATCTTAAAAATCTCTTCTATAAAGGACCAAATCTGCAGCCAGAAGCTGTTTACTGCAGGGAAGGGGGAGGGAAATGGGTTTTGTTTAAAAGGCATAGACCCGTGGTTTTGTTTGTGTCTGCCACAGATCATTGTCTTTAAAGCTCTCTCTGTATAATGGAGAGCTGAACTTCGGTTGACACTTGTTCCTAATGAACCACTGGGCAGAGTCGAATTTCAGTACTGAAGCTAAGATGAAAAGAAAAAATTGTTTATAAAATGTATGATATTCACTAAGTGGTGAGTAGAGCAAAGCTTTTTTTTTTTCCCAAGGTAGAAATTGTTAATATTTAGTTTCAGTTATATTGAGTGGCACATTTAAAAAATAGTTTCTAAGCAGAGTTTTAGGAATTTTTTTGAAAATCCTGTTGTTCAGGTCCACATTACATTACAGCTTAGTTTGAGTATTTCTGAAGGGGGGTGCAGGCACATCCGTAGCAAGTAAAACTGCCTGCAGTTGTGCCAGTGCTGGAGATTTCTCAGGTTGGACATTAGGAAATAGTTCTTCTCCAAAAGAGTGATCAGGCTCTGGAACGGGCTGCCAAGGGAGGTGGGGGAGTCACTGACCCTGAAGGTGTTCAGGGAACACTGGGATGTTGTACTGAGGGACATGGCTTATGGGGAGTATTGGTGGAAGGTGGGCGGTTGGACTGTGTGACCTTAGAGGTCTTTTCCAACCTTGGATATTCTATGATACCAGGATTCTCTTCCGTGGTCGTATCTGTTATTGTCAGGACCAGTTCCTACCTCTTTGCAAACCCTGGGCACACAATGCTATGGTTTGTAAGGAGCTTACGGAGCCCCGTGCAGAAGGCCTCAAAGTTAGCACCAAGTGATGCCACAAAGGCATCACTTTGGGGGTGAGTGCTAGATTTACTGAAGTATTTTATAATTTAGCCCTGTGGCACTAGCAGTTTGGATTAGGTTGCTGATAGCTTCAGAAGTTATGCTCCACTTTGACATAATAACAGACAAAAGGAACACTTAAAGAATTCTTAGAGAAATTGTGTCCTGCCTACCTGTGACTCTCACACTTTCCATAATTTTTCACATTTCTGAAATCCTCATGTAAAACACTGCAGTACCTCATGTTTTCAGTGCCAAAGGGGAGAAAAGAAAATGAAATCAGGAGCTTTGACAGATTTTTACTAAATTTTTCTCAGCCAGTAAATTTGACATGGTAAGAATCATATTCTGAATATAGTTAATAATCTGAATGTAGTCTGTGAAACATCACTTAGATGCTGTTGCCTTCAGTCATGCCAGAAAGCAGCACGTTTCAGAATGAAAGTTTTCCAAAAGCTGTTGAACATCCAAAGGGTGATGTCTCACATCACTTTAACGAGGTCGTTCTTTTCCTGGTTATTAAGAAAAAGAAAGTCTGCGGCAAGTGTGGTAAGATTTCATGAATAGCTTTGATGTGAGAAACATGAAGTGGAATGATTTTGTTTTCATGGAATAACCCAGGTACCCACGCATCCCAGCAAGAAACAGAGACTTTCCATCAGGTGAATGGTGGGAGACCAATTATGCTATAGCCCTGTCCTTAAGGACTGCCGTAACCACTGGCAGCAGAACACCATCAGACTCTCCACAGGTGATGAGGTAGGCTCCAGACCCTGATAAAAAAAAAGCGATGTCTAATAAACAAGCAGAAGTGCCATATTCTATCTTGATTA